TACTGGTTGTGAACCTCTCTATTATCGTACGTCGGATTGCAAAACCGCGTTTAAGAGGATACGGAAACGAAAACGTAGGTGTTCGTTTTCGTACTGATGCGAAAGGTCCCAAATAGTTAAAAACTAGATAACGTAAAGGCAATTTTCTGAAAATTTCATTCAAATTGATCCACTATATGAACCCAGAACTAAGCGAATGAAATTTCTGCCTAGCCTCCCTCGTTAATCATTACTAAAGTCAGTACGATAAACAGCATAGTCTCGATTATCCATTTAATCGTTAAATCGTGAAGGAAAGTTATGCAGTAAATTAGCTCATAATCCACTACAGATCGCAGACTGGCCATACCATCTAGAGTTGATTATGGTCTGGATAGGTCAATTAATGTCTAATTAATAATTTAGATAACATTTCAGGCCTAAAGAAAGACCTGCAATAGACAGTTTTAGCTCTTGCATAATGTATGTTTAATATAGCGGTCTTAAGATGGACCTAAAGTTATGTCCTTGGCTTGTTCTAGATCGGAGGCTCAGTGCGCAGGTCCCTTATTCACGAAAACTTAAACTAAGATACAATCTAAATTTTAAGAAATACTGCAATTCGATTGGCTGACCAATATGCAAATTGGATATATGCAAATTGATTTTACTGGTCAGCCAATCGAATTGCAGTATTTCTTAAAATTTCGATTTTATCTTAGTTTAAGTTTTCGTGAATAAGGGCCCAGGGTGTCCATCAAATGAGCACAAAACCAGACCCAACTTTTCTATAGTAAAATTTTGCATAGAATACGATGCCGAGTGGTAATCAGTCCGCCGTTGGGGCGTTTTCGAGATATTCGGGGTCAAAGGTCAAATGAGGTCATTTGCACTAAGTGAGTGCGTGGCCATTCTTGTATCATGATAATATGCTGAAAATGATCGAAAGTAATCACACTTTCAATAAAAATGTAAACTTGCTAAATTCACCTCTAGTCTTAGTGACCCTGGAGGTCAAAGGGGGCAATTTTCCATTTTAGCACTAGGAAGATTTAAAGCAATAAAATGTTAGCATAAAATATAAAAACTAAAGCGAAACCTGTTCTAATTAATAATAAAAATATTTAAAATGTATCTTTAAATGGTCTTAGCATCAAACTTTTATTTGGAACGTCGAAAATGATCTTGCATAACAGAACCAAAACTTTTCGGAACCTGTTTTAAAAATACGTAAAAACTGTTAAATCAAAATCTCCCCGAATTAGTTTTACAACGAATGCTATACATAATGATACTAGTAAGTTGTCTGAAAAAAACAATTGAATAGTTTTAAGTTTATAACCCAAAGATCTCGGTTCCTTTCGATATTCGCGCATATCAGACCGTAACTTCCTGAATTATGGCCCCTGATTGTACGAAAAATCAAGTTTTTAGCTTGTTGACCCTATAGAGGTCATAATTTTTCTCTGATTTAAAAAATCGTATTATTAGATCACCGTTACACCCTAAGGACGGCTGAGTTCAAATTTCGTGAAAATCGGCCCAAAACTGACAGATAAAATGGACGCCCTTCGTTCTCAAATTGCGTAATAATATGGTATATCAAGGTTGTGGACCCTATAGAGGTCACAATTTTATCTGATTTTGTTGAAACTTGAAATGTAAGTTTACAACCCAAAGATCTCGGTTCCTTTCGATATTCGCGCATATCGGAACGTAACTTCCTGAATTATGGCCCCTGATTGTACGAAAAATTGCGTTTTTAGCTTGTGGACCCTATAGAGGTCATAATTTTTATCCGATTTAAAAAACGTATTATTATATCACCGTTACACCCTAAGGACGGCTGAGTACGAATTTTGTGAAAATTGGCCCAAAACTGACAGACAAAATGGCCGCCGTTTGTTCTCAAATTGCTTAAAAATATGGTATATCAAGGTTGTGGACCCTATAGAGGTTACAATTTTTATTCGATTTTGTTGAAACTTGAAATGTAAGTTTATAACCCATAGATGTTGGTTCCTTTCGGTATTTGCTCATATCGAATTGTAATTTGCTGAAGTATGACCCTTGATTTTAGGAAAAATCACTTTCGGTTAAGCTTGTTTTCTATTCATCTCTCGAAAATGTGGGCGTATCCTGCCTGGCAGCCGCTGGTTAAGTATTTTTGAAACAGGTTTCGAAGTGTTTTGGTTCTGTTATGCAAGATCTTTTTCGACGTTCCAAAGAAAAAGTTTGGCGCTAAGACCACCTAAAGATTCATTTTAAATGTTCCAATCATTAATTAGAAGAGGTTTCGCTTTAGTTTTTATACGCCCACATCCGGACGTCCGTCCGTCCACAACTGTTTGCGAACACTCTAGAGGTCACAATTTTTACCCACTCTCGGTTCCTTTCGATATTAGCATGTATGGGACTGTGACTACATGGATTATGGTCCTTGATTGCACGAAAAATCACGTTTTTAGCTTGTGAACACTGTAGAGGTCACAATTTTTATCCGATTTGGTTTAAACTTGAAATATATGTTTATAACCCAAAGATCTCGGTTCCTTTCGATATTCGCGCATATCGGACCATAACTTCCTGGATTATGGCCCCTGATTGTACGAAAAATCACGTTTTTAGCTTGTGGACTCTATAGAAGTCATAATTTTTATCCGATTTAAAAAAACGTTTTAGTATATCACCATTACACCCTAAGGATGGCCGAGTTCGAATTTCGTGACAATCGGACCAAAACTGACAGACAAAATGGCCGCCGATCGTTCTCAAATAGCTTAAAAACATAGTTTATCAAGGTTGTGGAGCCTATAGAGGTCACAATTTGTATCCGATTTTGATGAAACTTGAAATGTAAGTTTATAACCCAAAGATCTCGGTTCCTGTCGATATTCGCGTATATCGGACCGTAACTTCCTGAATTATGGCCCCTGATTGTACGAAAAATCGCGTTTTTAGCTTGTAGACCCTGTAGTGGTCATAATTTTTACCCGATTTAAAAAAACGTTTGAATATATCACCGTTACACCCTAAGGATTGTTGAGTTCGAATTTCGTAAAAATTGGACCAAAACTGACAGACAAAATGGCCGTACCATCGTACTCAAATAGCGTAAAAATATGGTATATCAATGTTGTGGACCCTCTAGAGGTCATAATTTTCTTCTGATTTTGATGAATCTTGAAATGTAAGTTTATAACCCATAGATGTTGGTTCCTGTCGATATTCGAATATACCGGACGGTAACTTCCTGAATTATGGCCCTTGAATGTACAAAAAATCACGTTTTTAGCTTGCCGTCCATGTAGAGGTCACAATTTTTATCCGATTTAAATAAACATGTGAATATATCACCATTATACACTAAGATCTTGTTTCCCTTTGATAATCGTGTATATCCGAAGTTCCGAACGTAACTTCCTGGATTATGGCTCCTGATTGTTCGAAAAATCGCATTTTTAGCTTGAAGATTCTCTAGAGGTCACAAATTTTTTTCCGATCTTAAAAACCGTTTAAATATTTCACCATGAAGGTTGAATTTGAATTTCGGGAAAATCGACTGCCCGACAAAATCGCCGCTCTTTGTACGCAAATTGTGTAAAAGTATGCAATACGAAGGTTGTGGACCCTCTAGAGGTCACAATTTTTATCATATTCTGATGAAACTTAAAATCATATCTTTATATCCCAAAGATCTAAGTCCCTTTTGATATTTGCACATTTCAGACCATAACTTTTGGATTATTGCCCCTGATTGTTCGCTATCAATCTCTTGCAAAATGTGGGCATATCCTGGCTGGCAGCCGCTGGTTTCAAACGCGATGATTTGGTATTTCTATTAAGTATTTTCTTTGTTATTGCCCTTTATCCCTTTGAAAACTCTGATTAGAGACTAAAGTTGTCATCTGGTTGACTTTTTGTTTATTACCTCTTTCGATGACCCTTCCACCTCCCTTGATAATAAAATGAATATATACAGGCTTGTATAGGCTACAAAGGCAATTCCTGTGTGACTTCATATATCAGTAACAACAATTTGGCCATAATGTTTGAAAATTTATTTGACACTCCCCTCCCCTCCCCCCTTCAGTGTCTATGAGAGTATGTCATTTTGTATATAAAGCATTTCAACGTAGAAATCAAGCCGCACCCTAATATTAAATAAAGTATTACAAGGCAAAATTCACATTTTATTTTCATTTTTTAAAGTAGCTAAGTCTCTAACTCAATATCATCCAAAATCTTTGACATTGAAAACACGATTTATTTGTCAGTTTAAATCAACATTGATGTTGTGATCTTACCGGGAAAAGATGGACTTCTGATATTCTTATCTGGAGAGCATGCCTAATAAATACTATCGGCGTAGACTGGAATAACCAGATGCTAGAGATTGAAATTCGATTGAGAATACTGTCATATTTCGCCGAACCTAACTGATTAGAAATTACAGTAAAAACAGAAACCATTGGATGTAAATCAATTTATATACATTCATATTATATTATTGTATGCGTTGGAACCCATTTGTGTCAATTTCTAGGTCCCAAATATTAGCGATTTAGCTCCTTTAACATCTATAAATTTTGAAATAATGTTTCTGATATATATTTTCACTTTTAACACTAACCCGTATTTCTTCATGTTTTGTATTCTTAAAAATATGTATATTGCTATTTATTTTATGTTTCTTATGGTATGTATATGGGTGTTATGATACAATAAAATCTTATCTTATCTTATACAATTTATCTGAAACCATTTGAATGCAGTATAATTTAACCGAGCAGACATATTTTGTTATAGTGTTTATAGTCATAAGAAGAATACAGCTATAGCCTATTTTTCTGAATTTATTTAGGATTGGCTCATAATAATGACAAGTTAACGAGTTTGAAAAGTTGTCTGTATTTTGTCCCTGAAGGAAGGACGCAACAGATAAATTTATTCAATCAGTGTCAACGTTTAAATCAATTATCAGTAATCTGGATTTATGTTAATAATATCTTTATTTGCAGACAATTAATCACCCGTATAAAGACAATGAGCAAGATAAAAAGATCCATAATGAGTGAGTTAGTTTTTGTTATTTTTAAATGAGTCCTGTTTTGGTGTTTAGGTTGGGTCTATTCACAGTATATAGGCCTACTGCAGAGTTGTAATTTCCTAAAATAAGAATAGAAATATAACCCTGAAAGTAATTTTGACACAGTTGTGAAAAAAATCAGAGGCAATGCTTGCCAAGCATGAATGTTATTATGGTGATTTTGAAATATTGACATGCCATTTATATTAACAAAACAAATAACACCTGTGTATATAACCTTTATCACTCATTCAACCCATTTCGAGATTAATACTTTCTCATTCACAGCCTACTATGGAAGCCTATAACTACCTTTCATAATTTCTACTTTTCGCCTCTTCACAACGCGAAAGTTGAATAGTTGAAAAGTAGAAGTTACGACAAAATGTGAGGCGAAAACACGGTATACAAGCCAAAATCAACTCGAAAATAGGAAATTAAGAAATAACTCACAGTGATAATAGCTCCCCTCTTTTTTATACGCCCACATTGAAATGTGGCCGTATATTGTCGCCGCCGGTCCGTCCGTCAGTCTGGCGTCCACAAGCAATTGTGGACGCTCTAGAGGCTAAAGTTAATATCCGATTGACTTTAAATTTATATATAGTGTTTAAGGCCATGAGACAAAGAAGCCTATTGATTTTCAGCGATTTCCGATAATTACTGCTAGAGTTATGGCCCTTGATCACTTCAAAAAATCTTGTGGACGCTCTAGAGGCCAAAGTTAATATCTGATTGACTTTAAATTTATACACAGTGTTTAAGGTCATGAGACGAAGAAGCCTTTTGATTTTCAGCGATTTCCAATAATTACTGCCAGAGTTATGGCCCTTGTTTCCTAATTTCTTATTTTCGACTTGCATTTTGGCTTAAATACCGTCTTGTTGACTTTCGACTTAGTCATATTTTTGTATTTATTGATGTCAGTAATAAGGCGCCAACACGCATACCAAGCCAAAATGCAACTCGAAAAGTAGAAATTAGGAAATTATAACACACCATGCTATTAGTGACTTTTCGACTTTTCGCCTCAGAAGTTGTTGTAGTCTCAGTTTACCAGGTCGCATTTGAATATGTGCAATCAGGGCTCACACTGTATTTCATTCTTTTCCGTCAAAATGGATAATAATTTTTATATAAAAAAAATGTTAATATTTTTTTCCGCCAACTGGGATATTTTATCTGCCAAAAATGTCTGATAAAAAAAAAGGAAAACCTTAGGCTACAACAATTTAATTTATTATATAGGCCTATTATAAAACAAATTTCCCGTACCGATATATACAATATACAACAACATACATGGGGATTGGGTGGTATAGTGGTTTAACACGTGCGCGTGAAATCACAAGGTCTGACATTGATTCAAGTCATGTGGTTTTGATTCGCTGCTTAAACATGACAAGGGAGTAGGGTTGCTTGTCCGGATACCCCAGCTTCTATCCACTGCTAAAGACCCCTACGTGCAAACGAATTATTGAAATGATTTAGTTTGCAACGAGTGGATGTTAAGCCAGCCTGGAGGCCGGGTGTTCGATTCCTGCATTGGCCGAGAAAGTTCATCCAGATTTTCAGGCGGATTCCCCCTTGTCAGTGATGCAGGACGAGGGGGGGGGGGCTGACAAGGACAACTGTCTAGTTGTTCGGATGGGACCAAAATAACCGAGGTTCCGTGTACGTAAAATATCCCTTGACAGTTGGGATTCGATATAAGAGTAGGCCGTATTGCCGCTGTCCGGTCAAAATTTCCCTTATGGCACACTGTTTGGCATATGCCCATCTTCATTAGCCTAGTTCGGAGCAGAACAGTAGGACGTTAAACCCCAATTTCTCTTTCTCTTGTGACGAGTGGACATTACCCACCCCACCCCCTACAGAACAATATATATTCAGCCTCTACATGCCAGTCTCATCCAAGGATTTCCCTTTTTAACGTTTTGCATGTACAATAGTCCTATTCTTTATTGCTGGTACCGTAATAACCCAGAATCTGAATCCTCTTAGAAATTTCAATTTTATTTGTAAGTCATGCTTACAATCATTAGAGAATTTTGGCGGCGGTACTGAAATGTCACTATTCGACTCGGTCTTACATTTCCTACCCATGGTGATAATATAATTTGAAATAAAATAATAATATACAATCGGGAAAACCTGTATATTTTATAAGCGGTATGAAACCACTGTAGGCCTAAATGAAATTCAATTATCAATGCACATATTCTAATGTGACCTTGAAAGTAGAGACTACACCAACTTCCGAGGCGAAAAGTCGACAGCACGACAGCAAGCCAAAATCATAGGTCGCTAATATCGCCTTCAATACTAGACTTTATCATACAGACTATTTTGTTAACGCAAACAGTTGTCCTTGTCAGCCCCCCCCCCCCCCTGGCCTGCATCACTGACAAGGGAGAATCCCCCGGGAAAATCTGGATGAACTTTCTCGGCCAATGCAGGGATCGAACACCCGACCTCCACATCCTGCATCACTGACAAGGGGGAATCCGCCGGAAAATCTGGATGAACTTTCTCGACCAATGCAGGGATCGAACACCCGACCTCCAGGCTGGCTTAACACCCACTCGTTGCAAACTAAATCATTTCAATAATTAGTTTGCACTTAACTTAGGGGTCTTTAGCAGTGGATAGAAACTGGGGTATCCGGAGAAAACCCACAAGGTTGGGCAAGCGACCCTACTCCCTTGTCATGTTTAAGCGGGGAATCGAAACCACATGACTTGAATCAATGTCAGACCTTGTGATTTCACGCGCACGTGTTAAACCACTAGACCACCCAATCCCCATGTATGTTGTTGTATATTGTATATATCGGTACAGAAAATTTGTTTTATAATAGGCCTATATAATAAATTAAATTGTTGTAGCCTAAGGTGTTTTTTTATCAGACATTTTTGGCAGATAGAATATCCCAGTTGGCTGAAAAAAATATGAACATTTTTTTTATATAAAAATTATTATCCATTTTGACGGAAAAGAATGAAATACAGTGTGAGCCCTGATTGCACGCATTCAAATGTGACCTGGAAAACTGAGACTACAACAACTTCCGGGGGGGAAGAGTCGAAAAGTCGCAAAGAGCGTGGTGTGTTAATTTCCTAATTTCTACTTTTTGAGTTGCATTTTGGCTTGGTATGCGTGTTGGCGCCTTCTTACTGACATCAATAAATACAAAAATATGACTAAGTCGAAAGTCGACAAGACGGTATACAAGCCAAAATGCAAGTCGAAAATAAGAAATTAGGAAAAAACGAGGGGCGCTATTATCGCTGTGTGTTATTTCTTAATTTCCTATTTTCGAGTTGGTTTTGGCTTGTATACCGTGTTGTCGCCTCACATTTTGTCGTAACTTCTACTTTTCGACTTTTCGACTTTCGCGTTGTGAAGAGACGAAAAGTAGAAATTATGAAAGGTAGTTATAGGCTTCCACAGCCTACAGGTCATAACATAAGTTATATATTGATATTCAATGTGTAACAAAAATATTTTGACTATTAAATGTGTGTGGACGACTACAGTCACTACACTGTAAAACGGGTATCATTCCATCTTGTGTATTAAGCATTAATTTCTTTCACATTCATTTAATTTTTTTTGAAAATTTGAAAAATCATTTAAAATCACCAAAAATCATCCAATTGCCTATGTAACTTCCTAGATTATGGCCCCTGATATTATACGCAAAAATCACATTTTTCGCTTGTGGAGCCTCTAGAAGTCACAAGTTTTATTGGATTTAAAATAAACGCTGAACTGTATTGTACCGTTACACCATAATTATCGTTCATTTCGAATTTCATAAAATAGTTAAAAAGGAATGAAGAGGCGTTGTGATCTACAGCTTGTGTTTCAGTACTACACTCTCCAGGGGGTAATAATCTATCTAGACTGTCCTAGTTTCTCCACTGATGTAATACTGCAAGAGAAGAGGGTAATAATCCATCTAGACTGTCCTAGTTTCTCCAGCGAGATACATTGTAACGTACTGCCATACATGTAGTTTCTCCAGTGATGTACATCGTAACATACTGCGATGCTATTAACTCCATTCATTTATCCATATCATTATATTTTATATCCACACATTTTCATGTGGACGTATATTGTCGTTGTCCGTCTGGACGTCCACAATTGTTTGTGGATACTCTACAGGTCAAAATTTTTGTCCGATTTTAACGAAACTTGAAATATCGGTTCCTTTCGATATTGGCATGTATCAGATACGGCTGTGTTGATATATTGATACACCAATATGTATCAATACGTTCCAGCGATATTTATATAGATACGTAATATAGCCGTATCGTTGAAAAAATTCTTCAGTTAAGAAAGACCTTGAAACCCACGTGGCAAAAGAAGACGATCTCGTCATTTGACAAATGAATAAAAACTTTTGCAAGTTACGTGACTAGTTACCTGATACTGATAGACAAAGACTACAAATTGTGTTATGAAGTAATGCCATGGTGTCGTATCAGCTTATTTTGGCTACGGCATTTTCTGATACTGTCAATAATTGAAAAATGCTAATATTTTAGATCATCGACTTATGAAATGCGAACGTTTCATTGAATAAACGAAGACAGTAATTAATTTATTCTGGAATATTACGGCCGTGAACTTCAAGATGGTAATTGAATTAAATATAGAAAATTTTCAAAAGGTGTACCTGTCGTTATTTGTGTGGTAATCACATACATTAAAATACAACATTCTCCACAACAAATTACCAAGAATTATTTTTGTTGAAGTCTAGTTATATGAAAGGGAATGGAGCTTATAATTAACCCATGTCCTACGGGACCTCAATTGACCCAATTCTGGCCGACTCATTTTAAAATGGATTAACCCTTAACCGGTCGACGTCATTTTGACGTCAAGTGGTCAGGCTAAATAAAGGCTGCGTGATATATTTTGTATGCCTATTTCAATCGACTACTGCCGAATAATTATAAGACTCTTGACACCAATAAAAAAGTTGAAGGGGATAAGTTGATCTATAATTTGCAAATCATTCTAAATCCTTTTCATCAGAAATATCGTCTTCATAATCGGTGTCATCGATATAATCCGAGTCGGAATAATTCATAAGTATTTCAACCACTTTGAGCGTCTTTAACTTTCACGTTCCCAACATCGGTAAATTACGTTTTTTCGTCAAAAAATGTTGAACAAAGACATGTTTTTTTTTCAATGCCCTTGACAAGACAAGTTCCTGTCTGCCACGCATGCGTGTCCATATCAATTAAATACGAAACTAAATACTCAAATGCGGCTTATAAAAAAGGTTCTTGCTGTGGTTGACTTTAGTCGACCGTGACCACGCAATGTATAACGTTGTGGTGATTATAGTCGACAATGACCGGTTAAGAACCCTGATACTTACCCATCTATCTTGAAACAGAATGTAGTTTGAGATTATTTTGGGCATAATTCTTTGTCATCATATAGCGATACATATCGCGTATCGGTTTGCCGTATCGTCAATACGTATCGTATCGAAAATGAACTGTATCGACACACACAGCCCTAGTATCAGACCGTAACTAAATGGATTATGGCCCCTGATTGTACAAAAAATAGCGTTTTTTAACTTGTGGACCCTATAGAGGTCACAATTGTTATCTGATTTTGTTGAAATTTGAAACGTACGTTTATAACCGAAAGATCTTGGTTCCTTTCGATATCTAGAGGTCACAATTATTATCTGATTTACAAAAACGTTCGAATATATCACCGTTACACCGTAATTTTGGTTGAGGTCACAATTTTGATCCGATTTTGAAATACATGTTTGCACATATCGAATCGTAACTTCCTGAATTATGATTGTACAAAATTTAGAGGTAACAATTTTTATCCGATTAAAAAAAACTGTGTCAATATAGCACCGTTAAACACTTAGATCTTGGTTCCTTTTGATAATCACCCATCTGAACGTAACTTCCTGGATTATGGCCCCTGATTGTTCGAAAAATAACATTTTTAGCTTGCAGATTCTCTAGAGGTCACAATATTTTTTTCCGATTTTAAAAATCACCATTCCACCATAATGAAGCTGAATTTGAATTTCGGGAAATTGAAATAAAACTGCCCGACAAAATGGCCGCTCTTTGTACGCAAATTGTGTAAAAGTATGCAATATGAAGGTTGTGGACCATCTTGAGGTCACAATTTTTATCCGATTCTGCTGAAACTTACAAACATGTCTTTATATAACAAAGATCTCAGTCCCTTTTGATATTTCCGCATTTCAGACCATAACTTTCTGGATTATTGCCCTGGATTGTACAAAAAATCGCGTTTGTTTTTAACTTGTTCTCTATCCTTCTCCTGCAAAATGTGGGCATATCCTGCCTGAAAGCCGCTGGTTTTCATTAACTGTAACATAATTGTCCCCCGCCTTTCGAAGAAAGCAGGGGACTATTAAAATGGGTCCGTCCGTCCATCCGTCACACTTTTTGGGACACAATAACTCTCTTTCTAATTGAGCTAGAATGTTCAAACTTGGTGTAGGTGTTTATTAGGTGAGTGCTTTGATGGAGTTTGAAGATGAGCATTTTCTGCTTAGGGTAAGCAGAGATAAGCAATTTGATTGGTTGATGCTTTGGGACACGATAACTTTAGTTCTAATTAAGTGTGAGTGATGAAACTTGGTGTATAGTTTCATTACATCAATACCGTGACTAAGTTCGATAATGAACATTTTCTGCCGAGGGTAAGCAGAGCGATAAGAAATTTGATTGGTCGAGACTTTGGAACACAATAACTCTCTTTCTAATTGAAGTAGAATGTTCAAACTTGGTGTAGGCGTTCATTATGTGAATGCCTTGATGGAGATCGATGATGAACATTGTCTGCTTACGGTAATCAGAGATAAGGGATCTGATTGGTTGATGCTTTGGGGCACAATAACTTTGGTTATAATGAAGTGAGAGCGATGAAACTCTGAATATAGATACATTATATTATTACATGTACTTTGACTAAGTTTGATGGTGAGAATTTTCTGCTCAGGCTAAGGAGCGATAAGCAATTTGATTGGTCATGACTTTGGAACATAAAAACTCTGCTTTTAATTGAGGTAGAATGTTTAAACTTGATGTAGATGTTCATTAGGTGATCAATAATGCCTTGACTGAGTTCAATGATAAACATTTCGAGCTGAAGCTAAGCAGAGCTAATCAATTTCATTTGTCGATGGTTTGGGACAAGATAATCTTGATTCTATCTGATGGAGAGTGATTAAACTTAGTGTATAGTTTGATTGCTCAAAACTTTTGAAAAAAGTAAATGTGCGATTAATTAATGTGTCATCTGTTTATTTTGGGATTTCTGCGGGAGACATAAGCCTCACTGTTGGCTTGTATTTATAATATATTTACATTTGTAGGTAAAAAGAACTTTCTGAGTTTGTGTATCAATTTTTTGATGTCATTTGCTCTTTCAAGTAAGTTAATTTTCAATTATTATTTGTGTATCATATAATTTTCACACCACATTTATTCACAAAATGGCCAGCTCTTTATTCAAATCTTACATAATGCATCTTTAATTCTGTCTGTAGACAGAATGGTATAGGACATCTGACAATGTTTTATTTTTTATCTTGGTAGATGGACAAACTACAACTGATTATCATCATCTGTCTAAATCTGTGAACAACATTACTGGTTTACTATTCTGGAATTTGCCGACAGGTGCCTCGTGTATACAAATATGGAAGGATGGGGTAAATATAATTTATATGTGTCATATAGAAGGAAATAAATAGGGGTTTAGTGTCCTACTGGGCTAATGAAGACGAGCATATGTCATACAGTGTGCTATGAGGGAAATTTTGCCCGGACAGTGGCATGGCGTTTCCACCTTCTCTGCTTCAAATTCCAACTGCCAAGGGGTCCCATTCGAATAACTATACACTGTTCCTTGCCAGGCCTTCCGTTCTACACCATTGACAATCGGAAACCGCACTGATCATCCCAGAATAATCTTAAAAAAAATTTACTAATAAAAAACATGTGAACACTTGAATATCCTAATAGGGAGGTTGGATGGCCGAATGGTTAGTGTTTGCACGTTGTATCACAAGGTCAACTGGTGTGGTTTCGATTCCCCGGTTGTACGTCCAACTTTGTGGGTTTTCTCCATGTCCTCCAGTTTCCTCCCACTGCTAAAGACCCCTACGGGCAAGCAAATTATTGAAATAAAATTGACCATATATTAGTCCCGAAATGACCTAGTTTGTGTCGAGTGGACGTTAAACCCCATTTCTCTCCCTTTCTCTCTGTATTTCCCCACTTTGCATGGATATCTTTATATATTTTCTACTTATGAATGTTACAGGTTAAAATTTGGGATGAAGCTAATCTGGATTGGAAGAACAACACAAAATACCTTTCCACGAAAACCAGCTTTCAAATGAAATTTCAAATCTCAAATGTAGAACATGAAGATACTGGTCTATATCAGTGTTTAATGAGAAAGGGAAACAAAGTCAACTTCAGTCCAGACACTGATATCAAATTTGACATTAATGGTAAGAGTGGTTATTTTAATACTCTTTAAGATTTTAAAGTTTAATACAATAATTTATTGCTTCAGAATTTTACTCATTAATATTTATCAAATGAAATGGGGTTTAACCCCTCCTGTCCTGCTACTTGTGCTATGAGAAAAAATGTGGCAGGAGAGTAGGGATACGGTCTACTCTTATATCAAATTCCAACTGCCAAAGGATCTTTTATGTGCAATCTAATGTGCACACAGGACCTTGTTTTTCTGTAGAAAAGTTAACTTTACCTCATACTGCATGTTCTATTATCAGTAGATATTTTATTGGAAGAATTATTTGATCACAGTTTTCTTTTGATTCAGGATTTCGTTTGCTGAAAGGCCCGAAGAAAACTGTATGTGTTGTTAATGATACTTTACATGTAGAATGGGCAGTAGAAATACCTCTTGCCCTTTATCCGATAGAAATAAATGTTTATGCGACAGAATCTAATGGAAAGGTGGGTTAAATATATTATTTATTTGTTTTATTAAGTTCTACACGGATTATTTGTAGAGTTGTTGCCCTTACATTACATGATCAATGACAGACTGTATGATACAGCGTGCACGTGCTAACCATTCGGCCATCCAACCCCCATGCGCTATATTGCACATAAAACAATTTAAAGCATATTATCTTCCTAAAATACTGACTGATTAAAATACAGATCTATTTTTCGTTTTGTTTATGTTTCCAGAAATTTGGTTGTTGCAGATACCCTGAAGAAAATGTAATAAAATATAATACAGGCTGTGACACAAGTGAACATTCAAGTAAAAACACGACAACAAAAGTCATGAAATTATCCTATAACTTTACCAGAGATGAGATGGAGAGATTTACTTCCATTTACGTGGAGGTGGACTTTCCTCGGTATTATTTACATACTCCATGGATACAAATCACAGGTAAACAATAAAATGGGGTTTAATGTCCTAATTTTCTGCACTGACTGGGCTAATGAAGACAGGTATACATTGTGCTACTGATAAGAGTTCTTTTACCAATGGTGGGGTTGGATGGCTGAATGGTTAGCGTGGGCGCGCTGTATCATAAAGTCTGTCATTGAGTCGACTGGCGTGGTTTCGAATCCCCGGTTGTACGTGACAAGGAGTAGGGTCGCCGGTCCAACCTCGTGGGTTTTCTCCAGGTCCTCCTGTTTCCTCCCACTGCTAAAGACCCCTACGCGCAAGCGAATTATTAAAATAAAATTAAACCATATGTTAGTCCCGAAATAACCTAGTTTGTGTCAAGTGGAAGTTAAACCCCATCTCTCTCTTTTACCAATGTGTATACTGGTTTTTCCTCCCATTGGAACAACTGTATGTATGTTGTGCCTTGCCAGGTCCTCTTTCCTGCAAATCAGACAAGAGGGAACTTTCTTGGACAACACCAGGATCGAACACGAGTCCTCGAGTCCAATGATCCTTGCTCATTGAACCACCGCGACTCCCACATGACAAGAAAGTCAAACAAATAATGGTTATACGAGTAATTATATCAATTTTTTTTTAATTCTAGCTTTTATGAGGAACGGCAATGTCTTAAGTCTGTAAGGTTCTTGCTCACGTACCAAAACTTCCTTCTTTTGGTCCCTGTATTGACTAAGAAATATTCCTCACTGTTTTTCATCATTGTTTACCCCTTGTCAACGGTGCCGTCTTGACATGGAATAATTGTACGAATGGTGTAGAAAACAAACAAGGTTCTGTATAAATATTGTAGACAAACCTTTCAATGAAACACTGCAACCCAGGCAATATTACCCTCATTGTACACTGCAAGGTGCTCCTGTCTGTATTAGGTCACACTCAGCAAACCTCGGTAGATAATGTTACTCTACATCTAGCCTCGGCTGTATGACGGTAAGTGATATGTACCTACGCCTATACAATTGCGATGCGTCACTGGTTTACTTATTAGGAAAGATGTTATCAAAATTGCGTCGTTTGAAGCGTGCGTAGAATTTTTAGTGTAAAGTTGTCCTTGTTTGAAGATAATCGGATAAACTTGAAAGAAAAACAGCTTCAGACTTTGATATATTTGTATGATAAAACATTCTTCAAAGGCTCCGTCTAGGGCAACGCCGTTGGTAATCCGGGAACTTGAAAGTAGTTTCAATGGCGTACTTTGTCATACAGCCGTGGCTAGATGTAGGGTACTGGAATCTGCTGAGGTTTGCCGAGTGTATTAGGTCAGTGCATTACCCTAGCTTTCGTAATGTTAGTCAGGGGACATAACTCTGGAACTACTTTTTCAAACTCAAACTCAATCTACAAAGATCTGTTCTCTATCAATTGTCAACAATTTTTTAGGAATAGATTAACACTATCAATTCTAAAAGAGTTTGTTTTCGCAAAACTAGTTCCAGAATCTTGACTGATTGTTGTTGACAAATGTCCAATAGCAGAGAATATATTTTGGGGAGTATAGTTTTGATCTTCTTGTACTTTTGGCAACTGATATTTCTTCTTTCAAGAGCTTTCAGATTTAACACATTGCTTATTTTTATTAACAGGTGAATGTTTAGAAGATGATGTTAATAGAACAGTTGTTAATGGTAATATCTCTATGACAACAGATGGTAATGTGTCTACAGCAACCAAGAATAGTAAGTTTTAAATATTAAACTTAATAATTTCTTTCCAGCTTCTGTAGCCCCATTCCCATTATACTCAGTAGCATCGTTCCATTCTGCTTGACTAATCCCTGGTTTCATTCACAGGGTCGTCACAAATTCAGATTATCTTCCCTTGATAATTGTGCTATTTTTATTGATAAATTTAAAAAATGCTATAACATGTAGGAAGGAAGTGCACAAAGGGAAGTAAATCATATCTTGTTGCAGTAAAGATGGAAGTACATGCTCTGAGTTATTGAATTTCTTGCCAAGTTTATGATAAATGAGCACACAAGCCGTAAACAATGATGCTAAGACACGTTTCTAAACTGTGTTTTGATTGGTTTAATTGCATCAACCTATATGGCCAAGGAGATAGTTGAATAGAACAGAATGATACAATTATACTATATATAGAACAGAGTGATCCCACTGATACTGTAGCCATCCATGGCAATATTGACTATCAATTCTTCAGGCTAAACATTTTTATGGATATTATAACAGGATGTCATATTTATAATTTCTGTCATATGAGGAATTCTACATCCACTGTAGATGATCAGGGTTTTACAATATGGTATATTAGACTAGATTATCTAGTACCCAAACAGTAATATCAGAGTTTTACAATATAGTATATTAGACTAGATTATCTAGTAACCAAACAGTAATATCAAGGTTTTAAATATGGTATATTAGACTAGGTTATCTAGTACCCAAACAGTAATATCAAGGTTTTACAATATAGTATATTAGACTAGGTTATCTAGTACCCAAACAGTAATATCAAGGTTTTACAATATAGTATTTTAGACTAGGTTACCTAGTAACCAAACAGTAATATCAAGGTTTTACAATATACATGTAGTATATTAGACTAGGTTATCTAGTACCCAAACAGTAATATCAAGGTTTTACAATATAGTATATTAGACTAGGTTACCTAGTAACCAAACAGTAATATCAAGGTTTTACAATATAGTATATTAGACTAGGTTACCTAGTACCAAACAGTAATATCAGGGTTTTACAATATAGTATATTAGACTAGGTTATCTAGTAACCAAACAGTAATATCAAGGTTTTACAATATAGTATATTAGACTAGGTTACCTAGTAACCAAACAGTAATATCAAGGTTTTACAATATGGTATATTAGACTAGGTTACCTAGTACCAAACAGTAATATCAGGGTTTTACAATATGGTATATTAGACTAGGTTATCTAGTACCCAAACAGTAATATCAGGGTTTTGAGAGAGAGAGAGACAGAAATGGGGTTTAACGTCCACTCGACACAAACTAGGTCATTTCGGGACTAACATATGGTGTAATTTTATTTCAATAATTCGCTTGCGTGTAGGGGGCTTTAGCAGTGGGAGGAAACCGGAGGACCCGGAGAAATTCCCACGAGGTTGGACAGGCGACCCTACTCTTCGTTACTAACAACCAGGGATTCGAAACCACGCCAGTTGACTCAATGACAGGCCTTATGATACTTCACGCACATGCTAACCATTCGGCCACCCAACCCCCCAATATCAGGGTTTTACAATATAGTATATTAGACTAGATTATCTAGCCAAACAGTAATATCAATGATTTGATGTTGAGACAAAGAGTTAGCTTGTTTTTTTCGTTGCCTGGTAATGCCTTGTTTATATTTTATAGAGAATAAAACATTTGTAACTAATGGATCAAAGAATAAAGAACTTGATGATGGAGCCATAGTAGGTTCTATTGTTGGTGTTCTTCTCGTTGCGCTTGTTTTGTTTATATAGACAATAAAATATTTGTAACTTTTAATCATCTTTCAGAGAGTAGAGAAGCTGATGATGGAGTCAAAGTAGGTGTCATAGTAGGTTCTGTAATTGGTGTTCTCATTCTGGTTGGAATTGTGGTTTCAATTGTCTATTTTAGACACCGGTGCTTAAAGAAAAAAGGTTAGTTTTACAAGTAATGTTGGCCGAGGAAGTTCTGGGGTATTTTCCTGCCTGGTTTCCTTTATCAGTGGTACAGGACAGAGAGTCTGGCTAAGAATAACATCTTGTTGTCCAGATGGGATGAAAAGGGCACAAGTTAGCATGCACATAAAAGAACCCTTGACAGTTGGAATTCAGTTATAGTCAAGGCAAAAATTGACGAGTATGTCTGTCTTGATTAACCCAGTTGGTACATAAAAGTAGGACATTACACCTGATTTTATTCATGAGATGAAGAACCCCATTGATCATCAACAATGTTAGATAATTAATATCCCAAAATGACCTAGTATGTGTTAAGTGGACAACTCTCTCTCTCTCTCTCTCTCTCTCTCTTTTAAGGGAGAGAGAGAGAGAAATGGGGTTTAACGTCCACTCGACACAAACTAGGTCATTTCGGGACTAACATATGGTTTAATTTTATTTACATAATTCTCTTGCGCGTAGGGGTCTTTAGCAGTGGGAGGAAACCGGAGGACCCGGAGAAAACCCACGAGGCTGGACAGGTGACCCTACTCCTTGCCACGTACAACCGGGGATTCGAAACCACGCCAGTCGACTCAATGACAGACTTTATGATACAGTGCGTGCACGCTAACCATTCAGCCATCCAACCCCCCTCTCTTTTAAGGGATTTATTGCTAATAATTTCAGATTAAGTATGTGATGGGCTTAGTGAAGCTGACAATCCATCATCAACGTTTTAGTCTATTCAATTACTCTGCTTCTATATGATAAAATTATTTTCATAAATTATTTTTATTTCAGAGATGCAGAATAATAATAGCATTAAAGAGGTAAAGAGACTGTTGGACTGAAATGCTTAAATATTTGAAAATTAATATTACTTTCGTTTTTCTGTCCTATCTAATTTGTAATCCAAATCCGCAAATTAAACGTTCTCGAATCAAAATCACTCATGATGGAAGATAACTGGAGCTGACGAGTAATAAAGAAAGATTGAAGAACGTTTTTTTTTTAAGACACTGGAACAGCAAACAAACATGTATTTACATTTTCTTGTATCTTACAGCCGTAATTATCAAAGCATTTAATGGTTTAGATATTTTCACTGAAAACCACGTGGCAGACCAGATTATCCAGAACTTATCTGTGAATTGTATTACTTGTCAATCCACAAACTGTGTCAAATTAATATAGAACTAGAACTGCGAAGCAGTAATGACGGGTTTCACCGGTGCCACGTTACCCTTGAACTTATGTCACTTCCGGTACCAATGAAACCGTTAAACAGGTTTCCACATAAGCATTGCACACATGAAATAAAATGGACGCAGAAACAACCAAATCCAGCAATCAATTCATTTGCTACATGTCAGTGATCCTGTCAAAATTACATTACTTCTGGTGATAATGAAAATGTTAAATTGGTTTATGAAATCAGAAATAGCATCATCACATGTTGAAAATTTTATGTAAATCCTATAATAATTGCCACCTTTATAGACCAAAAACCTTGAAAAATGACTTGTAGAAAATCGCCTATTTCTCTGCAACCGTACAAGTTAGAAACCATTTTGAGGTATCTGTATGATCGAATGAGTTCATTCTATTTGTTGATTGGAATCAAATATCATAATTTTAAAAACATTACAAATCTGATTCATTTGAATAAAATATCTGTTTTGAAGGCTAAAAATACAGTTTTTGCCAAAATGACGTTACTTCCGGTGATAATGAAAATCTTAAATTACTTGTATGATATCGTAAATGGCATTATGTATCACACAGTGAAAATTTCATGAAAATCGAATAATAATTGACACTTTTTTTGACAAAAAAACCTTAAAAAGTGACCTGTTGAAAATTGCCTATTTCTCCGCAACTGAACAAGTTAGAAACCATTTTGTGATATCTATATGATCGTAAGGGTTCATTGTATTAGTTGATTTGAATCAAATATCAAAATTTTAAACAAATAACAAATATGACTCATTTGAATAAATTACTGGTTTCGAAGGCTATAAATACAATTTTTGCCCAAATTACGTCATTTCCGGTGATATTGAAAATGTTAAATTGGTTTGACCTAGTTAAAATTGACATTACACATCAAATGGTGTCACTTTTATGAAAATCGAATAATAATTGACTCTTTTACAGGCAAACTAGCGTAAAAAGTGACTCATGCAAAATTGCCCATTTCTCGGCAACTGCGCATATTACAAATTAATTTTCACATACATTCTCTCCGTATAGATTATTGCTACGAGTTTATGAAAGTTACGAAGTAATATTTTAAAATATGAAAACGCTGAATGGGTTGTAAATAGCTTAATTTTACACCTTTTTTCACCTTTTAATCGAAATAGCCCGAAAACGGAATCGAAATTAAAAAAAATGGTCCCAACATTTTGTGCGCCTTTAAAGGGCGCACAATTTCAGTTATACCAGATTTGAAAAAAATAATATTTGCTTTCGAAAAATGGTACCTAACTGTCAAAATTGTAGTTTTTTGTCAATTTACGCCACTTCCGGTGCCGACAGATAACACTATTGGTAACAAAAAAAATGACAATTGAGACAACGGGGCATATGAACTTTGTTTTATACAAATCGAACAATAAATAATTAATCTAGGACTGAAAAACTGAATTAGCCAATGGGGGCCAAGGAAAATTACCGAGACAAAAAAATTTCACATTTTTGCCCAAGTCAGAGGACTCGTTATATTTGTGTAAAACACGATTAAAAAATATTTATAAATAAAAAAGTTTTTTGTAAAAATTTAAATTTTCTAAATTTAGCGCCTAATATCTGCGAAGATTTGCCGAAAAGCAAAAATCAAAAGTAGCGTAGCTATGTGCCCCGTCTCCGGCTATGCCAAAATGCATCGAAAGTTAAAATCCAATGATTATTGTTAAAATTACTGCAATATTTCTAAAAACGATAGCTTCGGTGATTTCGGACATTTCGCATTGTCGCAGAACGTTCAAAATAGCTTTATCCTCTAAGTCACACCCACTTTTCCGATAAAACCGAAGAAATCGTAACGATCCGACAATCAGTTGCTGAGATCTACTCAAAACAAAAGAAGAATAATAATAATAAGAACTAGAACTGCGAAGCAGTAATGACGGGTTTCACCGGTGCCACGTTACCCTTGAACTTATGTCACTTCCGGTACCAATGAAACCGTTAAACAGGTTTCCACATAAGCATTGCACACATGAAATAAAATGGACACAGAAACAACCAAATCCAGCAACCAATTCATTTGCTACATGTCAGTGATCCTGTCAAAATTACATTACTTCCGGTGATAATGAAAATGTTAAATTGGTTTATGAAAAATGACTTGTAGAAAATCGCCTATTTCTCTGCAACCGTACAAGTTAGAAACCATTTTGAGGTATCTGTATGATCGAATGAGTTCATTCTATTTGTTGATTGGAATCAAATATCATAATTTTAAAAACATTACAAATCTGATTCTTTTGAATAAAATATCTGTTTTGAAGGCTAAAAATACAGTTTTTGCCAAAATGACGTTACTTCCGGTGATAATGAAAATCTTAAATTACTTGTATGATATCGTAAATGGCATTATGTATCACACAGTGAAAATTTCATGAAAATCGAATAATAATTGACACTTTTTTTGACAAAAAAACCTTAAAAAGTGACCTGTTGAAAATTGCCTATTTCTCCGCAACTGAACAAGTTAGAAACCATTTTGTGATATCTATATGATCGTAAGGGTTCATTGTATTAGTTGATTTGAATCAAATATCAAAATTTTAAACAAATAACAAATATGACTCATTTGAATAAATTACTGGTTTCGAAGGCTATAAATACAATTTTTGCCCAAATTACGTCATTTCCGGTGATATTGAAAATGTTAAATTGGTTTGACCTAGTTAAAATTGACATTACACATCAAATGGTGTCACTTTTATGAAAATCGAATAATAATTGACTCTTTTACAGGCAAACTAGCGTAAAAAGTGACTCATGCAAAATTGCCCATTTCTCGGCAACTGCGCATATTACAAATTAATTTTCACATACATTCTCTCCGTATAGATTATTGCTACGAGTTTATGAAAGTTACGAAGTAATATTTTAAAATATGAAAACGCTGAATGGGTTGTAAATAGCTTAATTTTACACCTTTTTTCACCTTTTAATCGAAATAGCCCGAAAACGGAATCGAAATTAAAAAAAATGGTCCCAACATTTTGTGCGCCTTTAAAGGGCGCACAATTTCAGTTATACCAGATTTGAAAAAAATAATATTTGCTTTCGAAAAATGGTACCTAACTGTCAAAATTGTAGTTTTTTGTCAATTTACGCCACTTCCGGTGCCGACAGATAACACTATTGGTAACAAAAAAAATGACAATTGAGACAACGGGGCATATGAACTTTGTTTTATACAAATCGAACAATAAATAATTAATCTAGGACTGAAAAACTGAATTAGCCAATGGGGGCCAAGGAAAATTACCGAGACAAAAAAATTTCACATTTTTGCCCAAGTCAGAGGACTCGTTATATTTGTGTAAAACACGATTAAAAAATATTTATAAATAAAAAAGTTTTTTGTAAAAATTTAAATTTTCTAAATTTAGCGCCTAATATCTGCGAAGATTTGCCGAAAAGCAAAAATCAAAAGTAGCGTAGCTATGTGCCCCGTCTCCGGCTATGCCAAAATGCATCGAAAGTTAAAATCCAATGATTATTGTTAAAATTACTGCAATATTTCTAAAAACGATAGCTTCGGTGATTTCGGACATTTCGCATTGTCGCAGAACGTTCAAAATAGCTTTATCCTCTAAGTCACACCCACTTTTCCGATAAAACCGAAGAAATCGTAACGATCCGACAATCAGTTGCTGAGATCTACTCAAAACAAAAGAAGAATAATAATAATAAGAACTAGAACTGCGAAGCAGTAATGACGGGTTTCACCGGTGCCACGTTACCCTTGAACTTATGTCACTTCCGGTACCAATGAAACCGTTAAACAGGTTTCCACATAAGCATTGCACACATGAAATAAAATGGACGCAGAAACAACCAAATCCAGCAATCAATTCATTTGCTACATGTCAGTGATCCTGTCAAAATTACATTACTTCCGGTGATAATGAAAATGTTAAATTGGTTTATGAAATCAGAAATAGCATCATCACATGTTGAAAATTTTATGTAAATCCTATAATAATTGCCACCTTTATAGACCAAAAACCTTGAAAAATGACTTGTAGAAAATCGCCTATTTCTCTGCAACCGTACAAGTTAGAAACCATTTTGAGGTATCTGTATGATCGAATGAGTTCATTCTATTTGTTGATTGGAATCAAATATCATAATTTTAAAAACATTACAAATCTGATTCATTTGAATAAAATATCTGTTTTGAAGGCTAAAAATACAGTTTTTGCCAAAATGTCGTTACTTCCGGTGATAATGAAAATCTTAAATTACTTGTATGATATCGTAAATGGCATTATGTATCACACAGTGAAAATTTCATGAAAATCGAATAATAATTGACACTTTTTTTGACAAAAAAACCTTAAAAAGTGACCTGTTGAAAATTGCCTATTTCTCCGCAACTGAACAAGTTAGAAACCATTTTGTGATATCTATATGATCGTAAGGGTTCATTGTATTAGTTGATTTGAATCAAATATCAAAATTTTAAACAAATAACAAATATGACTCATTTGAATAAATTACTGGTTTCGAAGGCTATAAATACAATTTTTGCCCAAATTACGTCATTTCCGGTGATATTGAAAATGTTAAATTGGTTTGACCTAGTTAAAATTGACATTACACATCAAATGGTGTCACTTTTATGAAAATCGAATAATAATTGACTCTTTTACAGGCAAACTAGCGTAAAAAGTGACTCATGCAAAATTGCCCATTTCTCGGCAACTGCGCATATTACAAATTAATTTTCACATACATTCTCTCCGTATAGATTATTGCTACGAGTTTATGAAAGTTACGAAGTAATATTTTAAAATATGAAAACGCTGAATGGGTTGTAAATAGCTTAATTTTACACCTTTTTTCACCTTTTAATCGAAATAGCCCGAAAACGGAATCGAAATTAAAAAAAATGGTCCCAACATTTTGTGCGCCTTTAAAGGGCGCACAATTTCAGTTATACCA